ATAGAAGGGGAAGATATGGAGGCAGTGACAGATTCTACTTTCTTGGGTTCCATGATCACGGCAGATGGTGACAGCAGCCACAAAATTAAAATAGCCCTGCTTCTTGGGAGGAAAGCCAATGACAAACCTAGACAGCATCTTGAAAAGCACAGACCTCCCCTTGCTAGCAAAAGTACACATAGTCAAAGCTATGGTTTTTCCAGCAGTGATGTATGGAAGTGAGAGATGGACCATAAAGAAAGCTCACTGTCAAAGTCTGTTAAGGTGCTACATTCAATATGCCAGCAAGTTTGGAAAACTCAACAGTGGCCAGACGACTGGAAAATTCAGTCTATATCCAGATCCCAAAGAAGGGCAGTGTCAAAGAATGCTCCAACTACCGTACAATTGCACTCATTTCACATGCTAGCAAGGTTATGATCAAAATCCTTCAAGGCAGGCTTCAGCAGCATGTCTGAGTGTGAAGGTAAGAGGAGAAGAGGACAACAGAGGATGAGATGGTTGGACAGTGTCACCGAAGCTACCAACATGAATTTGACACAACTCCAGGAGGTAGTGGAAGACAGGAGGGCCTGGCATACTCTGGTCCATGAGGTCACGAAGAGTCAGACTAAACGACTAAACAAAAACAACAACAAAACCACAGAGCAGTTTGTGCCTATCTCTAATAGCAACTCAGAACTACACTAACGGAAGTTTTAACATATCAAATTAAAGTTTCTCAACTGCTCCACAAGCAAACAAGCAGAACCTTATTATTTATCTTGAGGAGAACAATGGTGCTTCATTTGCAGTGTTCAGGTTATATTGGATCATAGGCATGATTAGTCCTTCTAAAGTCAGGGGAACTGAAGTAATTCCAATGAGTCTATGCTGCAGCATCTTTTAGGTGAAGAAAGTTTTCTTCACATTTGCTTTTAATAAGGATCATATTGCTACATGGAATAGAAGTAGAATTTTCATCAAAGATTATCTACATAACAAGTCATATATGGAAATACTGCTGGCAGACCCTCCTAAACACATCCATGTGTTGGCTGTAAAGAGGATAAGGCTAGAGGCGCAGCTAACCTTTGCCTTTTAACCATCTATGTAGCTGCCACATTCACCTTTCTGCTGTCTTCCAAAGGCATTGCCCAGCTTTCTTGTGGCAGAAAGAGCAGCTCCAGATTCCCATCAAAAGCTTTCCTCCATGCTGAAAAGTGTGCCAGGACTACACCCCTAGTGTCCTCAGTGAGAAAGTGACAGTTTCACATAGCAAAACCCTTTTATCAGTAGAGCTAATGTGGATAGCATTATTTTCCTGTTGAATTAAAGTTCTGCTACTATTCCCAGCCATAGTAATACAAAAATTACTTGCTTATTCGCCCAAGCACCAGTTCCCACTTAACTAAGGAGCTTCTATACTCAGGTAAGATGGAAAGAACTCTGACTGTAATCACCTATATTTAGTGGGATGGACTTTTTTGTAGTCCCAACAAGTATGTGGGCTACTCTGTGCAAAACCGAACACCAAGTCATCACCTGATTTAAATGTCTGCAAACTTTTCCTCCTCCACTATATCTCAAAATATAAGGTAGACTGCATGTCTTTAAGGTCAAGCCCCTCTCCTTGCCTCTCCCATGATTATTTTTACAGCATCTTGCCTAAGTAAAACATTTGGCAATGTCCATAGCTTACATACTTCTTGGTACCTTTTCAATTGACCTAATATAGCTATTACTCTAGTAAGCACTTTGGAATGTGATGGCCAATGGTGCTACTTCTGGGTTGCTGGTTTTCCCACCCGAGACACTGAGATGTATAACCCTAAAGTGTTCTTCTCAGCAGGAAAGGAAGCTCAGCCAAGCAAATGGAGCTGCTAACCCCTTTTCTGCCCCATGCCATTTGATTGAGAGGACTCTTTTATAGGGGGACAGACAGAGGGAGAGCCACTGAGTGCTGAGGTGGATTCTGAAGATGCAAGTCACATGGAGACGGTTTATTCTAAACTATGAGCAGGAGCTTAGTTAATCTGCACTAGTTGCAGATAATCCAAATTGGAGTTCATTATTTACAAGCCCCTCCTTTGACTTCATCATGGAAATCGCAACCAAATAATAATTAGATGTGACCAAAGTTGCTTGAGTATTTCCAAGTATCAGGCCATGCAGCAGTGACAATCACAAATGAAGAAGCAAATCAAGAAGTACCTCACAGGAGAAACAGTTTTGCATTACAATGGTTGGTATTCAAGCTTCCTGTTATGAAATTTGGAATAGCCTGGCTTGTGGCATTTCTAACATCTAGATCAAGTGTGCAGAGCACAGCCACATACGAAAGCACTATGTTCAGTGGAGGTACAGAAAACATCTGGAAGCTTTCTTCTATTTAGCATGCTTTTTTCTGTTCATCCAACGTAGTAATAGTAGTTTATCAATTTATTCAAGAAACAGCATGATCTGCAATTCCATTATTAAAAGGCAGTAACTTTTGAAACTAGCAAAAGTAAAACTTTAAGGGGAAATCCCCCAAAGTTTTCATGTTTACTAATTTCAGAACTATAACAGCTGTATATACTAACTCTCAAACTGCCATGTTATTTGAATCCATACACATGTTGACTGACACACATGAGCATTTAAAAATGTATTCAAACTATTTGGTACCTGATTTATGGAATGGACAAAAATCTCAATCTCCAGTCTAATTAAGAAGATGCTGATTCAACCCAATAGTCTTCTATACTTTTTTTCTTAACTCCATCAATGCCAGTCCTGCTTCAGGACATTTACCAATCTTAAAGTATTATTACTATGGAGAGACCATACCTCAGTGATAAGCAGATGCTTCTTCTACATGTTTCCAATGATCTTCATACATATTTCAATCACTGACTTTTCAGTTTAAAAGGATAAGATAATAAATGATATTAAATACATTCGCTTAGATACCGTAAATCTCTGCCTGTTCAAGTAGGCTGTGCATTGGTAGAGAAATGCAGTTTCTTATGTTCCATTCAGCCAAATTAGGTCTATCTAAAGAAGCACAGGACAAGAGAAAAATCACCCCCATGTCTCTCTGGTAACATGACTCATGAAAAAGCCAATGATATTACAGCCACCACCAAAATGTAACCTAGCACTGGAGGATCTCATAGCAACAACTCTACAGTAGACACATCAATCAAGAGGCTGAGGCAATTATAGTAGCCTATTGTAGGATGTATTCCAACACAAAGTTAAATAGAAAGGTTAATTAATCAGAATCCCAGCATTCCAACAGAAGAGTTTATGTGTGGTCAATCTCATGGAGTATTCACTTGCAATTTCATCTTATTTTTGCAGTTACAGTTCTTGCCCAGTAGAACATCATTATGCTTGTGTATTGATTAGGATATCGATAGCCTACCAATCCTTTAAAATACTTAAAGTAATTGAGAGAAAGTATGTAATGAGAGATCAATAATGTTCTGTAACAGAACACAAACAAAATCCACATGTTGGACAAGGAAAAAGTCTTATCAGCATAGCACTATATTTTGAGATAAGATGGGCTCAGATCATATTTTAAAAGCTCAAAGTAGCACTTCAAACAAGGCCCAAAGGCACATATACAGCCAGTTCAATTGCTACAAAATTAAATACAGTATATATAGCCTATTTGACATGCTAACTTCAGTAATATGGATATTCACACAATGCTGTTAGAAATATTTAAGAAACCACACTGGCAGAATCAAACACAATGTCACTTCCAGTGCCAGCTCAATGTAGATGGATTGCAATGCCATCAGCCCTGAGCATCTGCATTCTCCAGAGTGCCAGATCTTAAATATACTTATAATGACCCCAATCCAATGTGACACAGTGCTGCAAGTGCAGGATAGCAGAATTTCCTTCCTCCTCTTTCTGCTGAAGGCCCTTGGCACTGCCCAAGAACCAGCTCTCGAAGATTTTTGGGTTGGGTGGGTTGGGGTGAGGTGAAAGATGCAGTGCAGAAATCACTCCACTTCTACTGGATTCCACTGTGGTTTTGGTATAAATTATGCCCAAAGTCACTCCTACTTTTAGCAAGTCAGCCACTTATTTTCCAGCCTTCGCAAGGGTAGGTTTGTTTGGCAGAAGTGGCTTAGAGCAAGCTCTATCATGCTTAGTTTTGTATGCTCTCTCACAGAAAATGAACTCATTATGAAGCAAGCTGGGGATATGTGTCCATCACTAGGCAACAGTAGCCTAGGGCAGCAATCCAATATATGCAAGTCTCATTGAACATAGTAGTACTTACTTCTGAGTGAATGACCATTCTGAAAAGTAAAAGGTTGAGAACCTTTGCATTTCCTGTAAACTGATCAGAAGGATTACAAACTCAGTTTCTATAATAAATTGTACAAACTTTCCAACGTGGCACTATATAAATCAGTACAATGGATCAATAAAAATTAAGCAGTTCTAAGCCTGCAACATTTTAATATAAAAGCAGGGATTAGTGTATTGTTTGTCCTAATAAATATTGCCTCCCTGTGGATTTTCTATATGGACCAACATAGCAACCTCTGCTTTTATACTCAATTTTTGATGAGAGAGTTAAGTGCATACTAAAGACTTCCACATTTAATATAACTGAAGTATTTGGCCAAAATCCACTTCCTACTCCCAGTCAGAGTAAATCCATTGTACTGGTTTCCCTAAGTGGTGGCTCAGCGCAAGTAATATGACAGACCTAATCTAGTTGTTACTAACATATGGATTGAGGCCAATTAATGGTCCTATTCAGACCATGTCATGACCAATCCAGGGCTTTTTGGTTACTACAGTATTCCTACATATAATGTAGTAGTGCACATACCGAACTAACAAAAAACTGCATGCTGTTCTGTTGCATCTATTTAACAAAATGTTGAGTAGAAAAGAAGTGTTATAAAGCATACAGATGTCAAATAGATAATGTATTTAAGTTGTTCAGTGACTGAATCATTATTATTGTTCCTCTCCAGAGACTAGATACAATGTATCCTTACCATATATTCCATATTGGAAGCCTGTGGGTACACCTGACCCCGTAATTTATTATGAAGATCCAAGATACTCTGCATATCACTGTCAGTGATAGCCCTCTTCCCCCTCTGCTTGGCAACCCACCATTCGCCATCCTCATTCATGTACTTTTCCAGCAGCTCCTCAAATAGTGTTGCATTGGGAAGTACCATAGCAGAAACTGTTTGAGCTATGAACAGTAAAGCAGTTACTCTGAACCCTTCTTCTGCTACACTCTTCATGATGAATAATCTGAAATCTCTTCTGTATTAAGTTCCAGGTGAAGTCTTCTTCCAGGTATGTTGGCTGCAAAAGCAAAAGAGAACAAAGTGGTTTTGAGGTTAAGATACTGTGATGAATTAATTTACTGAATAACAGAAGTCAAACTGTATTTGAAAAAGGAAGATTCTAATGTGGTATCTAAGGAGACTGACTAAGAAGGCAGCTAATGCAAACACTCAACATTTACACTGTGAGTATGAATGCTAACTTATCTTCACCCTCATGAACTGAAGACTGTGGAAGGGAGCTGAAGAAAACTACTTGAATGCACATTTGAGCATGAGTATGAAAGAGCCTCCTTTTCCTCAGTAAGGTACTTAAAATGAGGCAGTCAGAATTAACTGATTAATTACATTCTCTTATGAATGAAACATAAAAAAAATTATTTTTGCAACTTCAAAATACAGTGTACATAAGAATCAAAAATTAGGAACAAAACATTGTGGACAAGAAAATTAAGGCAGTCAGAATTGTGTGTGTGTGTGTGTTAAGGCACAATATAGCCACAAGATTCCAGCCAAGTGTAAACACCTCAAGGCTGCAGTCTTAAACCCATTTACGAGGAGTACAGTAACTGTAACACAGCAAGAGTCACTTCTGATTAATCATGCACCCAACAGCATCTGTAACTTGTTTCCAGTGGGGATATAATCACATGCATAAGATTCACATCAAAGTGATTGAGAGGTGAAAGTATCTACAAGCACTGAACTGTGCAGTAAATGTGTGAAAAAGCATTTATTCTATACAGTACTTTGAAAATAACGAACATTCCCTATAACAAAATTCAAGAAAGGGGTTTGCCACACCTTTAAAAGAATACATTATCTGGGGATGCTTTACATGAGTAAATTAAGGTACTAGCATTCAAGAAACTGACTGTTGTACATATCTTGCGTATTTCTTCTGAGCATGTGCTAGTTGCCTGCAGTCATGTGTAATTCTCAGCAATCAATGAAACATGCATGCATATGTCTCAAGCCAGGATTGCTTAGTTTGAAAAGTGGCCACAACCTTACAAATGTTTCATCGCCTCCTGTTTAAAACTGTCCGATAAAGTTGTGACTCAAGTTACTGATAGGGTAAGATGGACAAAGAAAGGAATGTGTTTATTATAGCACAATAGTGTCTGTCTATGATATCTGTAAAGGGCTGCTAATCATGCAAAAAAAAAAACCACTTAATTTTTAAATAATGTTTCTCCTTATCCTTAAACTAGCACCACAGGCAGCAAGGCTGCAATTACAACCTTTGCAGGTGTGTATCTCTGTGTTTTAAATGCATCCAAAAGGTTCACCTCTTCCTGAACTTTCCTGAAGTTCGGTTCTCTCTCCCACCCACCGCTCCCTCTTTAATCTGTGCAGGAGCAAAGAAAGCCTTCGCTGCAGTCGGCTTGCTAGAGCGACTTTCCCTCCCTTCTCTTAAGCACAGATGGGGTGGTTAGCCGGCCTCGTCCCTATTTGGGTTTCTTAACCCGGCTCTGGAAGCACCGCAACCCTCCCCATTCCCAGCAGAACAAGGAGAGACGAAAAAGAGGTATAGCTAGGCTCGGCAAAGCCCCCGCGCGCCCCTCTGCCCTGGCCGAAAGAAAACTCTTACCTCGGGCCTCTTTTGGGAGCAGCTCGCGTTGTCTACGCGTATACATATATATGATATATACCACTCGGGAGAGAACCAAGCGCCCCCTCCCCCCTTCGCCCTTAGCGAAGGTGGCAGCTCCCTCGTCCGGGCGGGAAGCGCCGGCAGCAAACTTTTTGCGCCTCGTCGTTTGCGCCCGAGCTGCAGCGCCCCCGAAGCGCTGTGAGCTTCCCGCGCGCTGGCGACGTGGGTGTCCCCGCGCCGGGCCCGGCTCTTAGAAGCAGCCGCGCTGACAGAGTCTCTTCCCCTTGCAAATAGGGGCCGCCTTTGCTCGCCTGAGGAGCTAGCGGAGGACTTCTCTTCTCCCCGCCGGTGCCGCCACCCTCTTTATCCCGAGCGCTGAGGGCGCCCACCACACCCACCGTGACGCGCTCGGGTTCTTCTCCCTCCCCCCTCCCCGCTCCCCGGCATCCGGCCCGCGGGCCTCCCTGACCTCGTTTAGGTGAGTGGAAGCCGCCGGAGGAGCCGCTGCCCACGTCAAGGGCTCGGTGACACGTTGGGCGTGATCTCACTCCAAGACCTACTCCGGGGCGGGTCAGCGGGCAATTACTCGGGCTGATGTAGAAAAGGAGGGATGGTGGCTGGAGGAAGTCCTAAAAACTAACCCTCTGAGAAGGATGAGGCCGAGCCGGGAGCGTTGGAGCCCTGATCCCGGCTCGAGTGACAGGCTGACATTCAAAAGATGGCACGCCACCACTTTTTTGCCTGGCACTGTTGTGGAGTTTGACGGCTTGCCTGCTAGCTCAGGGAAGCAGATCCTCCCATTGAGGGCTGGTCCTGCTGAATTTGAAGAGAAGCAAAGCACTTTTGTGGCCCAAATATAATGTGCCAGAGAAGGAACCGCGGCTCCATATAATGATGACACCTTCAACTCTCACGAACTCCACTTTACCAAATTAAAGGAACAAGAGTTCTACAATGATTGCAATGTAATAATGCTAGATATCTTTGCATACCCAATACCAATGTGCTTGTGTTCACTGGTGCTGATTTGAATGATACCCAACCTTTTATGTGACAGCATCAGAATTTAAATCCACTGAATCATTTCACTCATTAGGTCTGATCTACTAACTGGACTCATCTTATGATCACAGGCACTGTTTCCATATCTCATGAAATATATCACAACTTTCATAATCAGGAAAATATCATGGAAATGATAGATCCTAAAATGATTACAATTTGTGTTTGGGCTGTTAAGTATCAGAAAGTAAATAAGCACTTAAACTTTATGACTCTGCTCCAAAAGCATTTGTTTGATTTATGGAAACATAACGTTTTTGCAATCCTGACAAATGTGAGTCTGACTGAATCTGGAATGAAGCTCCATATAGATGTTAAAATTAAAACTAAATTATAGGTAAAGAAAATGTAAAACACAACCCCTGTCTTAGATGGACATCTCAACATAGTGAGGGGATCTGTGTGTGTCAGGAAAGCACACACTGTGTTATAAGTGCAAATTCCTAGCGGGTTCTCCCAAGGTGGAACAGTCAAAGCCATGACGCCAGACCAAGATACATTCATCCTCTTTGGGGAGTAATGGCCACATCAAAAGAGAACAGATACTGTGTTTCACCAAAAATAAAACAGGGTCTTATATTAAATTTTGTTCCAAAAAAATGCATTAGGGCTTATTTTCAGAGGATCTTTTATTTTACAGCCATGTCATCTTCTGGTTGATGCAGAATGCTGCACAATGGTGGAGGATGGGGTTTCACTTAACTGGGGCTTATTTTTGGGGGGGGGGCTTAAGGCTTATATTACGAGTAGAGATGGGGACGACTCACCATTTTGGCAAGTCGTCCCACTTTGTGAGTCGTCAAAAGCTGATGACTCAGGAAGCATGAAGTTGCCCCCATGAAGCAACAAATAATGACATTATTTGTCGATTTATGGGGGGTATTAAAAAACCACCCCCGCCATCCCCCTTTCCTATTACAAACAAACAAAAAACCATTCTACCTACTGGCTGTGGATCAGCTGATCAGCGGCAGATAGGCAGCCACCCCCCCCTTCCTATTAAAAAAACACATAATTCTGCCTATTGGCCCATTGGCTTGAAATAGACAGACACCCCCCACAGCCACCCAACTGCACAGTCTGTCTACCACCTTTGCAAAGGGCAGCCAGTTTCCCTTTTTATATGTGTGGTTCTGAGGCCAGAAGACCTCAGCAACAGCGATTAAGATAAGTGGGTGTTGGTTGGAGTGGGGTGTGGTGGTGTGCGGCCTAAGGTAGGGAAAGGAAGGGGGTGGGGTAGGCTGTTGGGGTGGCTGGCTGTCGGGGGGGGGTTGGCAGCTGCCTATCTGCCACCAATCAGCTGATTGGGGGCCAGTAGGCAGAATTGGGGAGGTTGTAATAGGAAGGATGAATAAAAACGGGTAAATATTCATCCCTTTGTATTTGTGGGGGTCTCTGGTACCCACGAGTATGAAGGGATGAATGTTTAACAAATCAGCTATATTCGTCAAAAAAAGCCAATCCGTTTTTATATTCATCCCCATCTCTAATTACGAGCATCCTGAAAAATCATACTAGGGCTTATTTTCAGGTTAGGTCTTATTTTCGGGGAAACGGTAGATTGAGAAATTTTTGTAGGGCAGCTACTTGGCAGCAGCAGTCCTGGTGACTTGAGCTTCAATGCCAATGAAACCCAAGCTAACCCCTGCTAGTACTGTACAGAGGAAAGTGATGATAAACATATTCTCTATATCTCCTACTTCAAAAAGCCTATGTTGAGAAGATCCAAAATTAAACAAGAAATAGTTGTGAAAGAGGAGACTCCCAAGTTGGAAGGCATTTGATCAATTATTGAGGAGGAAGAAGGAATAAACAAGAAAAGAATTGCCATCAATGAAGCAACTGGATGGAAGGAAAGCAAAAACATTTAAGAAATTACTATACATTGAAATACTCCTCCTTTTGCATTGGATTTGACACAATTGAAACCAGTGTAAACCAACCCCACAATAAAAACAATTAATATCCAGTAAATAAATTGAAACCATTAATTTGCACACAATCCAGGCTACTGGAGTGTACCAAGTAATTTCAGGGGGGGGGGAACAGTCTGTAGCTTTATAGATTACATCAAAGCATTTGACTGGATCAGGAAAAGGTATGGATCATTCTAAAAATAATGAATCGTACCTTGGATATACCATAAGAAAACAAGAGTCATGGAAAAAGAAAATATAAACTTGAAAAAGTGGTAAGCAATGGAAAAAATAACAAAGATCTAACATAAGATGGATTGAGTCAACAAAGTCCTTGCACATTCTACTCCCCCTCAACACCAAATAATTCATTGGTGTGATTTTTGTTTGATCTTTTTTAGTATTTATAAACTTACTGTTTTTAACTTTAAATATTGTATTTTAATGATGTAAGCTGTCATGGGTCCTGTTTAAGGAAAAAGATACTGATTTTTTTTAACACAGTAGCTCACGGCACTAGTTATTATACTGTGGTTGCTTTTCTGTCATTTTAACATTAAGTGATGCCTCGCAAGATGAAATTAATTCGTTCAGCGAGTCATGCCATCTTGCAAAATTTTTGTCTTGCGAGGCGCAGTTTCCCATAGGGGTGCATTGAAATTTAATTAATGTGTTCCTATGGGCAAAAAAAGTCAGAAACAAAAAAAGTCAGAACAAAGTCACTTACAGTACGAGGTACTGTAGACTGAGCCCCACTCCTCACGGTGCCTTGGTAGCCCCGGAACAGCCGGACTCTGTGTGACCCAAGTGCTGAACAGCTGAGAGGTGGCAGCCATTTTGTGGTTGTCTCTGCCGCCCGCCTCTCAGCTGTACGCCTTTTTCTATGCTGGGAAGCCTCTGAAAGCAGAGCTTGCCGGGGGGCACCCCATGCAGCCAGCACCACTTTCAGAGGTCCCCCGCCAGTCCTCCCAGCACTATCAGAGGACTGGCGGGGGACCGCTGAAAGTGGTGCTGGCTCCCCGCCCCCTGCCTCTCAGCTGTTCGGCGCTGGGTCTCAGAGGCTTCCCAGGGCTTGCTCGGCATGGAAGAAGGCATGGGGAAATGACGGGAAATTCAAAAATGTTGCTTTTCCCCTGCCTTTTTCCATACTGGGCTCTGGTCACACAGAGTCCAGCTGTTCTGGGGCTACCAAGACTCTGTGAGGAGTGGGGCTCCCATAGGAACGCATTAATTAAATTTAAATGCATTCCTATGGGAAACCGCGCCTCGCAAGATGAAAATTTTTTCCTCTTGCGAGTCACCCAAAAACTCGCCAGACGCTTTCGTCTTGCAAGTTTTTCATTGCACAAGGTATTCATCTTGCAAGGCACCACTGTACTTGTTTGGTTGGAATCCCCTTTAGGGCTAATGAGAAAATGACATAGCATTTGTAAATACCATGAGTAATAAAGCTTTTAAAGTAACTTTAAACAAGCAAACACAAACACACAAAATGTAGGAGATTATTTTGATTATAACCTGCAAAAAGGAATCATAGAATTAATCGCACTATTTTTGTGATGTAACATCACTGCGTGTTCATTATGAGAGAAAAAAGTGAAAGAGAGGGAAACAATTATAATGTCTCTGCTTGTAAAATGTTACTTCCCACTTCTGCCTACATAAGAAGCAATATCACTATGGGGATTATGAGAAACAATGGTTCTCATCACCCTGGGCCATTAGTGGCTTGTAGACTAGAATGGGAGCATTTCATCCCTAACTTTTAGGGGTCAGCTTCACTGTCCCTGTCACAGGCCATCACAGCCCTGGATGTAATGATGTCACAGTCTCTACAGAAGGCTATTAACATTATTTCAGTATATAAAATAACTAACATTTCATTTTGCCAACCATACTGCCACTATTCCATAGGTAAAAGGTTCTCCTTGACATTTAGTCCAGTCGTGTCCGACTCTAGGGGGCGTTGCTCATCCCCGTTTCCAAGCCATAGAGCTAGCGTTTGTCTGAAGACAACCTTCTGTGGTCACGTGACCAGTGCAACTAGACACGGAACACAGTTACCTTCCCGCCATGGTGGTCCCTATTTATCTACTTGCATTTGCATGCTTTTGAACTGCTAGGTTGATGGGAGCTGAGACAAGCAATGGGAGCTCACTCCGTTGCGTGGATTCGATCTTACGACTGCTGGTCTTCTAACCCTTCAGCACAGAGGCTTCTGTGGTTTAACCCAAGGCACCACCATGTCCCTTTGCAGTGCCACCATGTCCCTTATTCCATACTGCTGGTACTATTCCATACTTCACAAATATTTCAGCATTCCCATTACACAACAACAAGCCAGACCAAAAAAAATCCTACTTGGCAACCCTGATTTAAAATGAAGAGAAAATAAATGCTGTA